TTGAAAACTTGGGTCTAGTAGTCAAAGTCCACATAAAATGTTCATGGTTTAATACTTCTGGTGAATAGGATTGATCCTAAAATGATGCAGGGAATTGCTTTGCACATTCAAACAAGCTAGAACAGAATTATCAGACATTTTACAATGACATGTGCTTCCTCTTTTACACCGAATTGTGAGTCTATGTGTAAGATACGTTTTTTGTAAATATTTTTAAAATTTATTTATTCATTTATTTGAGATGGAGAGAGAAAAACGCAGTAAAAGAGAGAGAGACGATAGAGCGAGATATTGCTCCCAACCACCTGTTCACTCCTCAAATATTCGCAAATCTGGCATTAGGTAAGGCTAAAGTTGAGAGTTGGTACTCAGTGCACATCCCCAAAATGAGTGGCAAGTACACGACCACTAGTGCCTTGATAACTGTCTCCCACTGTATGCATTAACAGGAAGCTGGAATCTAGTGCACAGCCAGGACATTAATCCAGACACACCATTATGAAGCACGGATTCCCCTAATCATCACTTTAACCACTGTGATAAATACCCGTCTTCAAAATATTGCTTAATTTTAGGGCATGTATTTGGTGCACCTGTTGAATTGCCACTTGGCTCACCCACATCCCTTACTGAGTTTCTGTTTTTAGTTCCTGCTCTTCAGGTTCTTGTCTAGCTTCGCAATAAAGTACATCCTAGAAGGCAGTGATTGATAACTCAAGTACTTGGGTTCCTACCACCTTGTGGGATACTAGATATTTGAATTTCTAGGTTCTAGCTTCAGCCTGGCCCAGCTCTAGTTGTAAGCATTTGGGGAGTGGACCAACAGATTGATAAATAATCACTATTTATCACTATTTTCTCTCTCTCTCTCTCCCACTTTCAAGTAATATATATATAATATAATATAACATGTAATACATATTAATATTATATAAAATAGATGGATTTTCTAATATAATATATCATAATATTATATAATATTTATATATTATATTATATGTAATAATATAATATATATTACTTGAAAGTGGAAGATATATATTTATATATATATATTTGAAGTTTGATTTTCCAAATGGTCTTTAACTTTGTATCTCCAGTGTACGTTATAGAATTCTCTTGATTTATATTATTTGATTTAAATTTAAAACTCTTGATTTAAATTATTTGATTTTATGGTCAGTCTGTGTAAAATTATAAAGTGACAGCAATGATGGTGATGTAATGATATTGGTAACTTTTAATTTAATGTGAATCCAAGTTTTGCTCCAAATTAATGTCTTATTTGAAGATTTAAAGGAACTTTTTTATTTTATAAAAATAAGAATTATTGTATTAAATGGCTTTGTAATTTTTTTCATAGTAGTGTTGATTTTTATATCTGTGATGTTTACATTGCAAGCAGTTAGTGTTTTAGTTATTCATTATCTAAATTATTAAATTCAAAGTGTATCAGTGGTATTTGGATTAGATACATGAATACAAATTAATTGCATGTCAGATAAAAAGAGTTGTTGTATGAACAAGCAGTTCTACTTCTAGGTATATGCTTAATAAAATGAAAATATATGTCCACACAAAAACTTGCTTACAAATGTTCATTGAAACATTATTTGTAGTTGTCAAAATTGACACAATGCATGTGTCCATAAATTAATGAATGGATAATTAAAATATGTTAGTGCTATACAATGACATATCATTCAGCCATAAAGGAAATCAAAGTACTGATACACGCTACCATATGGATCATGCATGGGAAAATTACACAAAGTAAAAATACTCAGTGACATTTCTATAATTCATTTTCTAAGAAAAGTCCAGAATAGAAAAAATCATGAAGACAAATTATGTCAGGGGCATGGCTTTGGGGATATAGCGGGAATGACTTATGATGTATATGAGGCTTTTTGAGGAGCATCAGGAATGTGTTCTGTAATTAGACAATGGTGATATATGTATAATCCTGTGAGTGTATTAAAACCAATAAATCATACATCTAAAAGGATGAGGGTGAGTGTTTGGTGTAGTGGTTTAGATGCTACCTGGGATGCTTGTATCCCATATCAAAGGGCCTATCTTCAAGTCTAGCCTCTGCTCCTAATTCCAGCTTCCTGCTGATGTGCATCCCGAGAGTACTTGTGTGATGTGTCCCTGTCACTCACATTTGTGACCAAAGTTGGATTCCAGATTTATGACTTCAACCTGGTCCAGACACTCGAACCTCCAGTCATGACTGTTGCTGGCATTTGGAATGTGAATCAGTGAATGGAAGATTATCTGTCCCTGTATGTCTCTTATTTGTTTTGTTTTGTTTTGTTTTGTTTTTTTCTGTCTCTTTGCCTTTCAAATAAATACAAATAAATTTTATATTGGGGCCAAAAATGTGGTGTAAGGCTAAGCCTCTGCCTGTGGTGGCAGCGTTCCATATGGGCACTGGTTCATGTCTTAGCTGCTCCTCTTCCAGTCCAGTTCTCTACTACTTGCCTGGGAAAACAGCAGAAGATGGCCCAAGTGCTTGGGCCCCTGCACCTACGTGGAACACCCAGAAGAAATTATAGGCTTCTGGCTTTGGCGTGGCACAGCCCTGGCCATTGCAGTCATTTAGGGAGTGAATCAGTAGATCAAAGACCTTTCTTTCTCTCTTCCTCTCTCTACCATGTACTACCATTAGTTGTAAAACATATTGTTCTTTTTTGCAAGAATAGAATCATTTAAACATCATGTCTCCAACATTTCAACCAATGTAAAGGTACCTGTCCACTGTAACGTAAAATCATAGACAAGTGTCTCTGAGTTACAGAAATAAAGATGGTTATTCTTCCCTGTTTTAATCAACAGTGTGAGTGACAGTATTAAAAATGCAACTTCTAATTCAGTGAAGTGATATCACTAGATTCTATACAGGAAGTAAACAGCAGAGAAAGTAATTAAAAATTGTGCTAAAAATACATGACAAGTGATTTCTCCAATGTATTTTGGTAGGGCAAGGAATACACTTAACATTGGTTTTTGTCTTATTTTAGAAATAATTTTCCATGAAGAGCATAGTTTAAAAATGTCAAGGAACTGTGAGATCTCATGAACAAGAAATCAATTTTTCCTTGGTTCTTTGGAATGTGAAGTAATTGTCATGTCCAGTTTGATAACTAGGGAAGAGTTCCATCCATTGTGTTTAATATGTAGATGTGATTCCCAAAAATAGCTTTTGGTGATTTTCTTGGCAGTCAAAGTGAAAGGCAACATCATAGTCTTAACTTGGAACACTTTTGATTGAGTATATTCAAATTATAGGAAGATGGGCAGAATAGAAAGCAGTCCATGAATCAGATTCAGAAACGAAAGCAGATATGCTATCGATGGGACCTAATTGTCATTATTTTGCCTATGTATGACTAATGTAGCATATTCGTCTTCCCAATTTAAAAATTCATTTTTATTTGATAAACACTATTTTTATATTATTGCAAGTGATTATTGGCATTTCTTTGAATACCTTCTTAGACACCTTTTTGATTATTTACATAGGTCAAAAATCTTAAACACAGGAATTTAGAATTATTAGATTGAATTATATGATGTATTTTAAGGTCTATACTGAATTGTGAAAAACCAGTACAAATTTATATTTTATTGTGCAATTGTGATAGTTCCTGTCCCATCACGATGTTGATAAAATTTTTATTAATGTAAGCTAGTTCTATGAGCAACAAAATCCTTTATTATATTTATTTTGAGGAGTTTTCAGATTATTTGAAAGGCAAAATTACAGACAGAGAGAGGGAGGGAGAGAGAAAGGGATCAATCTTTCATCTTCTGGTTTACAATCCCAAAGGTTTCAATGGCTGGGTTGGGCCATACTGAAGCCAGGATCCTGGAACTGTGTGTGGGTCTCCCACCTGTCTATTAGGGCCGCAAGAACTTGGGCCATCTTTAGCTGCTTTCCTAGGCACATTAGCATTGAGATGGTTTGGAAATGGAGAAGGTGGGACTCAAATTGGCTCTCACGTGGGTTGCCAATACTTTAGGTGATGGCTTAACCCAATGTGCCACAATGCTGGGCTTAAAATCCATTGTTATTATCAAGCGTTTTATGAGAGTATAGCCTCTGTTTACATTTATTGAAATTTTGTGTTATCTTGTGAAGATGTCTTGTACAATTTTGTTAATAGATGACATGTCATTGATTCTTTTTTTTTTTTATTGGTGGGAGATAACACACTATAACATAAGGGCATATATTGGACTTTAGTCTTACAGCATTATCGGTTTAGATCCCAGCTCACATAATTGGTAATTGTCTTTCAACATGACAACATGATAATTCAAGTAGTTAAAAGTTCCTATAATCCCCATCAGAAAATAGAATTTGTAAGTATAAAACAAGAATATTAACAGAAACTTACATAATTGAATCTGGTAGTTAATAGATATCTCCCAAAAAACCTATGCCTGCACATGTACATATATATGTGCTTCTCACCCATAAAATACTTAGACTTGTATTAAACACCTACATCTAGAAGTATTGGAGTCAGTCCTAACTCAGGGCTTCCAGGGATGCTGGGCTTAAGTGGAATTCCTCTGGGGCATGAATGAGGTGTCCTGAAGAAAACAGATATGGCTAAATAATCAGGAATTTATGCATTTTTTATAGTGTAGCTTTGACCCTTTGAAAACGCATAACCACAAAATGGAGCAGGGTCTTGCACTGATGCTGGAGATACCACCGAGCTAGCAGATATTTAGTCATAAAGATTGTTAAAGGAAATTCTTTAATGTAGGCAATGTTGCTTATCCTTTTGATTATACATTATTACACTCTCCCAATTCCAATCAAACACAAATATTTCAATATGTTTTCTTTTAATATACATATAGCTTTATTCACGCATGTTAAATATTTGATTTTTTGGGGGGTTGTTTTATTGTGAAGAGAGGGAAATAAACTATAGTTGTAAACTAAGTAAAATATGAATTATAAAAGAAAATCTCTGCAAGAATAATTTTTATTTGGATGCAGCATCCAATGCCAAGAATAGGTGGATCATTGTATAAAGGAAGGCTGATTAGCAGTGAAGCCAGGGAGCTACGGCAATGCCCTGGGTGGCTGAAGTTCTTTGAAGAAACAGGAGAGAATCACATCAAAACAATCATCCATAGTAGCTTCCTGTTTCTGATACCACCCATGTTGATTTTCGCCAAGATAGCACTCACTTTCTCATCTATAATTAAGCGATCAAACAGAAAAGTTATTGATGGAGCAGTTAGGGTAAGCCAATATTTTCTGTCAAATTCTTTTCCTCCCATAGTGTTTCCTCTCTTAGTTAATGAATACTTTATCTTTTATTTATACCATTGTTTTCCAGTGCCACACTGAATGCATTAGCAAGTACTACTGTATTTTGCTTCAAACTACCAAATTCCAACCACCTCTAAGCATTTCTCCAGGTACCACCTTGTCCATGATACTGAAATATTTCCAGATCTCCCTTTCAGACTAATATCCATGACATTCAAATCTACGCAATTAGTCAACCTGATATAATGCTCCAATTCTGCAATAAACTAAATCTAAATTCTTAAAATTAACATAGGAAGTCCCCAAGGATGTGATCCACAATAGCATCTCAGTCCTCATTTTTCACTCTTGTACTACTACTATCTTTGTATTTTTTAAGAATTATTTTATTTATTTTAAAGTTACAAAGAATGGTAGAGCCAGAGAGAGACAGGTCTTCCATTCTGCTGGTTCACTGCACAAATGACCATATCGGCCAGAGCTGAGCTGAACTGAAGCCATGAGCCAGGAGCTTCTTCCAGATCGCCCAGATGGTGGGGGCCCAAGGACTATTAGATTCTGAGCAAATTTACCTTCTTAATGGCGCTCTCCCATTCTGTACAATTTGGAACTGAATAGCCATCTTGTATCCTCAGCAGTCCCAGTGTTCCCCTGTCCTGCTTCATATTATTTCATAGTGATATCATTAGGACATGTTTCTGCATCATCTATCTGATTCTAACAGAATATAAGTTGCATGAGGGCAAGATTTTCCTGTTTTAATCTGTGTTGTATTTCTGGTAGCAAGATCAGTACTTGGTATACATTGCAATCAATAAGTACCTGTCAATAAAAACTAATAGCAATAGTTAATACTTTCATAACTCTTAATATGTGATACTCTGTTATAAATGCTTTACTCATATTAAGTTATTTTGCATTAATTATTGTTTAGAATAAATGAATACATCTTTCTAAAGTGTATTTCGCTTATTTGAAAAGCAGAGTGACACACAGAGGAGAGAAAGAGAGAAAGTTTTCCATGTCTGGGTTTCCCATGTGTGTGGCAGGCTACTAGGCACTTAGCTGTTTTCTCTGCTTTCCCAGGCACATTAGCAGGGAGCTGGATTTGAAGCCAAATAGCTGGGACTCAAACCAGTGCTCTGATGTGGGTATCTGCATCACAAACAGTGGGTTAAGCTGCACCGCGATGCCAGCTCCAGTGACTAAAGATTTTTGTGTATTTAAAGTTTTAGTCCAAGTGTAAATTCTACTATCTGAAATTACAAATTACCTTTTATGTTACTAATACAAATGAGACTTTCTTTCATGAAAGTTCAAATCCATCAATCTAATCTTCAAGACAGACATAAGTATTTTGTTACAAAAATTCACTGGGAAAGGCAGAGCCAAGATGGTGGAATAGTGAGGGTGCACACTGATAGTCCCAGAAAAGATAGTTTAATAAAAGTGGAGTTACTGTAGCCTCAGGAAAAAGCTCAGGAAAAAATTGCAGAGAAAATTCTTCCGGATCTAATGGATGTGACATGGAGGACCTACGGAGAGAGCAAGGTTGCCCACCGCATGGAAGCTGAGCTGCAGGAGCCGAGCCTCAGAGTCTGCGTGCCAGCGCTGGAAGGGGAGGTGAGACAAAAACTTCAGTAACCTGAGACATTGGCGGGGAAAGGCAGAAAGAGCCTAGAGGGAATGAGGCCTGAAGCCCCACTGGGGAAAGTTCACCAGGTTGACTGGAGGAGAGAAAAAAACAAATAAATAAGGGGAACTGGCACGGACATTAGCCTCTCTCCACTCACCTTACAAAGCCGAGCAAGACAAAGAGCAGGTGCCCGCCATTAGCCAAGCAGAAAAACCTGACTCTGGTGGGGAGAAACAACAGGAGGTTAGGACCTAGTGAAAGTATGGAGCTAATGAACTGAGACTGTGAAAATCTGAGGGGGGGGAGGGCGAGAGAACTCACTGAGTACACAAACTCGGTAACCTGGGCAACCAGGTGAGAGACTGTGGAGAAATTTGAGACCACACTGAGGGCTTTATAAACTCTTTGTGTGGTCCTAGGGGTAGAGCAGATTATTACCCGCAGGGACCAGATTTCATTAATCAACATCAACTACCCTCAATTCCACGCAGCTGTGTGGAATTACTTCCCAACTGAATCAAAAAAAAAAAAAAAAGAGAGAGAGAGAGAGAGAGCACGAGTGAGCGAGAGAACAATCTGGGTGAGTCACCTTTGGCACACACTTAACCCTGAAGAACCAAACAGCACTCTCTTGCCACACCCATCACAGCCTCTAAGGATCCATCAAAAGCAGACAGTCCACTTAATCTAGAGACATAGTATAACAAGAAAAAGCACCACAGCGAAGAAACCAAAGAATATCTCCAATATGCCAAATGCAAAAACCGAGGTAACAAGAACAAGGAAGACACTATGATGCCCCCAAATGAAAAAGACACCCCAATTCAAGATTATGAAGATGAAGAGATAGAAGAAATGCAAGAAGCAGATCTCAAAAAATTGTAAGAACATTAAGAAGTTCTCAAAAACAAATTCTTGAACTACAGAAATCCTTAATGGACAAGATAGAAAATCTCTCTCACGAAAATGAAATATTAAGGAGGAATCAAAATGAAATGAAACAACTAGTAGAACATGAAACCGTGATAGTGACGAGAAATCATAATGAAATGAAGAATTCAATAGATCAAATGACAAACACATTAGAGAGCCTTAAAAACAGAATGGGTGAAGCAGAAGAGAGAATATCGGACTTAGAAGACAGAGAACAGGAAAGGATACAGTTAAACCAAAGAAAAGAAGAGGAAATTAGAAATCTAAAAAATATTGTTGGGAATCTACAGGATACTATTAAAAAACCCAACATTTGGGTTCTAGGAGTTCCTGAAGGCATGGACAGGGAGAAAGGATAAGAAGGCCTTTTCAGTGAGATACTAGCAGAAAATTTCCCAGGTTTGGAGAAGGACAGAAACATCCAAATACAGGAAGCTCATAGAACCCCTAGTAAACATGACCAAAAGAGATCCTCACCACGACACGTTGTAATTAAACTCACTGCATTGAAACAGAAAGAAAATATCCTAAAATGTGCAAGAGAGAAACGTCAGATTACTCTCAGAGGATCTCCAATCAGACTCACAGCTGACTTCTCATCAGAAACCCTACAAGCTAGGAGGGAATGGCGAGATATAGCCCAGGTACTGAGAGAAAAACTGCCAGCCCAGAATATTATATCCTGCTAAGCTCTCATTTGTGAATGAAGGTGAAATAAAGACCTTTCACAGCAAATAGAAATTGAAAGAATTTGTTGCCACTCGTCCAGCCCTGCAAAAGATGCTTAAAGATGTGTTACACAATGAAACACAGAAACACGGTCATCAATATGAAAGAAGATAAAGGAAGGAAACCTCACAGCAAAAGATCACAGGAAGTTCAAAACATATATTAGAAAATATTTTTGGCAAATGGCAGGGCAAAGTTACTACTTATCAATAGTCACATTGAATGTTAATGGCCTGAACTGTCCAGTTAAAAGACACAGATTGGCTGATTGGTTAAAGAGCAAAACCCATCTATTTGCCTCTTACAAGCAACGCATCATTCCAACAAAGATACATGCAGACTGAAAGTGAAAGGCTGGAAAAAGATATACCATGTCAACAGAAATGAAAAAAGAGCGGGCGTAGCCATCTTAATATTGGACAACATAAACTTTACCACAAAAACTGTTAAGAGAGACAAAGAGGGGCACTATATGATGATTAAAGGATCAATTCAACAGGAAGATATAACGATTATCAATGTATATGCACCTGATTACAGGGCACCAGTTTATTTAAAAGATTTGTTAAGGGACTTAAAGGGAGACTTAGACCCCAATACAATTGTACTGGGGGACTTCACTACTCCACTCTCAGAAATAGACAGATCAACAGGCAGAAGATCAACAAGGAGACAGTAGATTTAAATGACACTATAGCCCAAATGGATTTAACAGATATCTACAGAACTTTTCATCCTACAGAGAAAGCATTTACATTCTTCTCAGCAGTACATGGAACCTTCTCTAGGACTGATCACATACTAGGCCATAAAGCAAGTCTCAGCAAATTCAAAAGAATTAGAATCGTACCATGCAGCTTCTCAGACCATAGGGGAATGAAGTTGGAAATTAGCAACTCAGGAATCCCTAGAGCATACGCAAACACATGGAGATTGAACAACATGCTCCTGAATGAACACTGGGTCATAGAAGAAATTAAAAGAGAAATCAAAAATTTTCTGGCAGTAAATGAGGATAACAGCACAACATACTAAAACTTATGGGATGCAGCAAAAGCAGTGTTAAGAAGAAAGTTTATATCAATAGGTGCCTACATCAAGAAATTGGGAAGGCACCAAATAGATGAGCTTTCAATTCTTCTCAAGGATCTAGAAAATCTGCAGCAAACCAGATGCAAATATAGTAGGAGAAGAGAAATAATTAAAATCAGAGAAGAAATCAACAGGATTAAATCCAAAAAAAATTAAAAAAAATAAAATATTTGAAATTAAGCAATAAAAAATTCACTGGGAGAATGTTTAATTTCAGTTGAAAATATACTCAAATAAATTAAAGAAGTGAGTAATATTATTACAATACACCTCCTTTTGCTTTGATAGCAAAGACAGCAATGATTAAAGTATAATAATGTGTATTATTCAATTATTTCAGAGAAAAAGAACAAGAAACCCAATGAGAAATTAAAAGTTAACAGAATTGATTGGAAATAGTTAAATTAATGTAGATCTTGCACTGCTTAATGGCATAAAACAGTAACGTGATGGTCTCATTCTATTTAAATAGTCTCCTTCTTCTTACATGCTCATCATGAATTAAGAGTGGCAGACTTCCTCTTTTAACCGAGATGATCACCGAAGTGGAAGGAAGAGCCAACTGAAGATCCTATGGCAGCACTTGGCATTCACCAGTGGCATTCACATTTCATTGCTGCAGGAAGCCATGTGACCATGTGTCCATTCAAGTGAGTGGGGCAGTGCCACCCTGTCAAGTACCCAAGAGGAAAGAGATTGAATTGCTTGTGGTCAGCAATGATGATTAAAACCCAGGGTATTTTCAAAAATGAAAAAAAAAAACTAACCTATTTATATTTTAAGTGAAGAATACAGAACCATGTCATTATTCACACTTGAACTGAATTTATAAGTAATATGTATCACTACAAATGATTTTACCAACATCCTTACTCTCAATTAATTGTAGTGATTGTTTCTAAACAAGAATAGGATCAAGAAAAGCATTATATCAATAGTATATTACCTTTTAAAGAGTGTGGTTTGTGTTTGAATGGAATAAATTGTATGTCATATTATATTGAGAAAAATTATCATATAGGTATGTGAGATGAATGTAAGATATTGGAGTGGTGTCAGTACAGAGTCTAGGATGTTGGGGATCAGGGAGTGACAGTGGACGCAACTGCTGAATTGAGGCTCAGAGAACTGTAGAATTCACAGGTGCCGAGAGAAGTCTATGAAAATGAGAAAATGACTTGAGTTGTAAAAAAAAAATATTATTCAAACTTTTTTTTGGAAGAGAGAGAGCGTGTGAGCTAAAGAGCGCTCCCATCTGCTGATTCACACCACAAATGTTCACAGGGCCACAGCTAGCTGAGCAAAGGCTGAAGTCAGAAGCCAGAAAGTCAACACAGTTATCTCCTGTGGATGCCAGTTACCCAGTTACCTGAGCCATCACTGCTGCCTCCCAGGGTGTTGCACTAGCAGGAAGACGGAGTCAAGAGCTGGGTATGCAATCCAGGTACTCTGGTATGGGACACAGGCATCTTAACCAGTGTCTGAACTGCTAGGCTAACTGCTCTCACCTCTTTTAGCTTCTAATATTAAGGGTTAAATTCTGTATGTTACATGTGCATCAGTCAACATTGCTGTGACTTGCTCACATCAACAGGAGTCTTCAACTTCTGAGCACTGTATCTCTGATCTACACACATTGTGTGTTCTCCAGGAGCTGGGTATGCACTGCACAACCCCAATTCCTGGTTTAGATGATAAAAGCAGAGTTCAGTGTACTCAGACTAAGAGGCTCATAGTCTTTTTCTACTAGGGACTAGAAACAGGATCATACAATGTCAGTCTGAGATCTTTCTTCTTGTTGATATAAATTCAGAGAGGAAAATAAAATCTGTATTATAAAAGAGTAGTAAGTGAGACAATAGAAAGGGAAAGGAAATATTGTGTCCTCAAGGCTTTTTGGTAGCTAGTCACTATCTTTAACTGATATCCACTGCATACTGGACTTATTTCCCGACAATGATTTATTTTAAAAATGTAACCTACAAGTTCCTCCAAAGCACATGAAAAATGAGTTTTATATCAAAAAGAAAATTTTCAAAATTTTTAAGATCTGTATTTAGTTGAAGAAAAGCCTTCCTTATTCCTAAGATGCTACTCTATGTCTGGAGGAAGCATTATTTTCAGTTACATCCACAGATAATAGAGTTACGCTGTATGCATTCAGCCACCATGAAAGATTTATGTATTTTTTTCCCTAAACGTTAATTTTACTTAATTCAAAGAGATGACCTTTCTTAATTTATTTCCTGCTTTTCATATTCTGAGACATTAATTTTAAAAGTTACACCACATTCAAACTATAAAAAGAGAACATAAATTGCATTTGTAAGACTGTGGAAAGAAAAAACAAAATGTGACAGCCAAAAATGTAGACTTTTTTCAACAATGCCTAATATCAAGGTTTAGGAAGGAAAAACCTAACTATAAAAAGAGGAAATACTGTAATTTACAAGTTAAATGATGTATCACACTATGAATCTATGTCTCCAAAATTTTAAAAGTTAGTACTATATAGGTAATGAAAAACAACATAGAGGAATTATACCTTATAATAAATATATT